TTGATAATATAGAAATGAAATTCTATGAAAAGGCTATATGAGGCAGATAGGATTCAGATTTTTTGCTACATGAAAGTCTCTTTGGTTCAAGATTAAAGTTTAAAATGTACACACAGAGATAAATCCATCTATAAGAAGACAGAATAAGGATGGGTGTTTTGACTGAAAGCTTTAACAAAGATATAAAGCATTAGATTGGAAGAAATTGTCATAATTACCTATCAAAGGCTATAGTTTAGTTTTGAAATGTTTCAATACAATAGAATTATACAATATTCTCCACCTTATGTAAGGTGCTGTTTTTGGGGGATTGGTTGCACGTGATTGTGTTTTGGTTATCATAGTTAAGTCACATCTTTTCAAAACAAAGTGCATTAATCATGTGAATTCAATTCATTCATATTCAGATGTGTTTCTGTCTAAAATCAGCTTTGTAAAATAGATTTTGACCTACAAGTTGTTGATACAATAGCTAATAAACTGTCTATGATTTTTTTTATTATTTTCAAATACTGTAGGTTTGCCATGAAATTAGGATGGCAACTTCTTGTAGTTCTTGGGATCCAAGTTCAGTGTGGTTAGGGTTAAAACGTATATTGAATAACTGATATTGAATTTCATAGGTGTTTTCATCATGTCTCCATATCTTAAATAGCTTTCATAAAAGTCCATTTGATCTATCACGTACTGAAAATTGAACTCTCAATGTGAAAAATAAATATATACATATCTTTTACCAATCACATTTAATCAAACTAATGGCACTAACACAAGATAAACAGTTTTTCCTCACTAGCATTTTTAAAAAATTGTTGGGATATTTTTAGATTTATGTTTCTATGGAATTTGCAACCATTATTTTTCCAGTACAAATGTTGACTTTTTTGTGTGTATTACATTTTTTTCTTTTGCAATTTCCGGATCGTTTCTTTAAATTTTGGGGAATTTGCCATTTTCAAATTATCTTTTTTCCCTTTATTCTCCTGCTCCCTCTGAACCTAGGAGCCAACACAAAGAAAAGCGCAGATGATATAACCAGTACTGATCATGGGGAAGATGAAGGTATTCTTGTTGTTGTTTTTTTCCCCCAAAAAATGCAGTCCTGATATGCATGAACATAAAAAATTTTCCCCTCCTTTATTTAATCACACACATTTTGGTGTGGTGTTTTATTTTTGTCTTATCTAAAATCCACCTTCCTTTTTTTCTAAAACACAAATTAGCATTTAGATTACTGCAATTCCTATTTGAGATAAGAGTTCAAATTATCTATAATATCTGTGAACTGAGTAGCATAAATGTTATTTACAATCAAATGCTTATTCCAATTCCCAACTTTTAAGTGGGAAGAAAAGAAATGGAACCGAAACCTTGCATGTTCTGTATATTTTCTTTTCCCTTTTAGTAGCTTGTAAATTCACCTTCACATTATTTTTCTTCTCTTTCTGTTATATTGGATGCAATTTCACTTCCCTTGGGGTTTTTTTTCTTTTCTTTTTCTTATCTTCAATATGTAAACAAGTCAAGGAAATTCAGGGATGCTTTCTAACTTGCTTTGTTTTATTTTTTTAAAGTTTCCTTCTTTTGCATGTAATTGGGGCAAAATTGCCTCCACCATTTATTCCCGCATTTCTCTTGAAAAAATATTTTGTGAGTTTATACAATAGTCAACAAATGATAGGTGTCCTATTTGGGATTCTATCACTTGCATGTTATTGTAAAATTGCAAGTAAACCTATTTCTGTAAATATTTTAATAGAATCTTTGGGATGTTATGAGTACAGCTGCTCAGGCAGTATCAGCCCTGAGAAACTGGTAGGGGTGTGTTTGTGTGTATTCTTTAAATTACTTGATAATAATCAACTGCAAAGGATTTGGAACTTTCCTAAGGATTTAGTTAATTCTTGCAGACCACTATATTGTATTATGCAAAAATGCCTTTCTCTAAGTAAAATAAGTCAGAAAGTTATATACATTATAGTAGGCTAGGCTTATTTTTTTTACCTGCATACTTTTTCAAATTTCTGTAAAAAAAGTAATCCAGCCAAAACCTTTCTAAAATATATCTCTTTGGTATATTTTGATGGTTTTACAGACTTAGAATAAACATGGCCAACATTACATTTCATGATAGAAATTTGCACTGAGTGGCATTGTAAAAGTACCAGTATTTTCTATCTACAGTTATCTTTCCATGGAATGATTAGTTGAGATATGAAGCGTGCAGAGGATCTATGAGAAATTAGGATTGAAACTTGTACCATAAATGTAAAATTAAGGGAAATACCCATTTGTATTAGGAATGTGTACTTTTGACATCTTCTCTTGGTATGGTCTTGTTTTACGACTGTCACCTGATTTTTTTCCTCAATTTTCATATCTGATACATTCTACACCTATATACTAATTTGTCTTTCTATTCAATTCCATTCAGAAATGTGTATAGTATGGTGGGATTACCTTTTAATATCCTGTTTCTTAAGATACAAAATGATTCCTATTTTTTAGAAATGTAGCTGCTAAAATATCTGTTTTTTGGGTAATGCAACAGTTATCTTATTTTTCCTTGCAGTCTTCAAGTATTTTCAAATAATGAAACTAGATGTTTATTTCATATTCAAATATAGGCTTGTGTGATCCAAGGAACAACTTAATTTTCCAGAGGAGGGGGAGGGAGTGGTCACGTGTGGGTTTTATCTTAGCCTGATTGGTCCCAAAGACTGAGAGCAAAGCTTTAAA